TGCCGATCTTTGAGTTAGACATGGATCAGATAGGTGCCGCTTTGCATGCCATGTATTCTGACGCTGCTAGTGTTGCTAGATCTTATTATCCTGTGTTCTCTAGTTTAGGTGTTGCACCGTTGTGTAGCCTAGCCTCCCCTGCTGCGTCAGGCGTAGGACTGCCTAGTTTGTCTAGCCTTGTCTCTGCACCGGCTCCGTTCCCTGCCCCTGCCACTGCTGCGCTGTCCTTCACTCTCGACTCTGGTGCTTCTGCCTGCTTCTTCCGCGACCGTTCCGCACTTACGCCGCTTGCTACGCCAGCTGTCGTCTCTCTCACCGACCCCTCTGTGGGTCCTGTCGTCGCTCGCAGTTCTACGTCCCTTCCCTGTCCAGCCGTTCCCTCGGGCTCCCTTACAGGCCTCCACGTTCCCTCATTCTCGGGGAACCTGGTTGGTGTCGGCTGTCTCCAGGACCTCGGCGTCACCACCACGTTCCCCGGGCACGAGCGGTTCGCTGTCTGTTCTGAGGCTGTCTCCGGTTCCCCCCTTGCGACGTTCCCCAGGGACCCGGTGTCCGGTCTGTTTACCCTCGACACCGCCTCCCCTCCGGTTGGTGCGTCCTCCCAGGTTGCTGCAGCTTGCTCGTGTCGTTCCCTCACTCACCCGTCCCTTCTCTGGCACCACCGCTTAGGTCACCCTGCTCTCCCTCGTCTGCGTCACATGTCCCAGCAGGGCCTTGTCTTAGGTCTCCTTGTGTCGCTCCCCGCCCTTCCTCCCTCGACTGCGCCACCGTGCACGCCTTGCTTCGAGGGCCGGCTCCGCCGTGCCCCTCACTCCTCCTCGCTACGCCCTGCTACTGCCCCCCTTCAGACCCTGCACCTGGACGTTTGGGGCCCTGCCCCCGTCCCCGGACCGCGCGGTGAGCGCTACTTCCTTGTGCTCGTCGACGACTACGCGCGCTACACCACGGTGTTTCCCCTCGAGCGGAAGGCCGACGTGCCCGACGTTCTTCTCCCGTGGGTTGTGGCTGCTCGTCTCCACCGCGGTCTCCCCGTGTTGTGTCTCCACTCCGACCAGGGCGGCGAGTTCGCCTCTGGTCGGCTTGGACAGTTCTGTCGTGCGGAGGGCATCACCCAGTCGTACACCTTGCCGGACTCGCCACAGCAGAATGGGGTTGCTGAGCGCCGCATCGGCTTGGTCATGGAGGTCACTCGCACCTCCATGATTCATGCCGATGCCCCCCATTTTCTGTGGCCGTTCGCTGTTCGCTACGCTGCTCACCAGCTAAACCTGTGGCCACGCTCTCAGCGGCCGCATGTTTCGCCGACCCTTCTTTGGACCGGGTCCCCCGGTGACGCGTCTGCGTTCCACGTCTGGGGCTGCCTTGCTCACGTTCGTGCCTCTGGCACGGACAAGCTCACTGCCCGCACTGTCCCCTGTGTCTTCCTCGGTTTCCCCCTGGACTCGTCTGACTGGCTTTTCTATCACCCGCCGTCTCACCGCTTCCTCCACTCTCGTGACGTTACCTCTGACGAGTCCGTCTCCTTTTACCGCCGCTTCCCTCACCGAGGTCTCCCAGTTGCCCCCCCCCTGTTCCTTGCTCCCTCTCCCCCGGTAGCCCCTGCCCCTCTCCCGCCTCGTCCTGCCCCGTCTGGTGTCTCTCACGTCACTCCCCTCCCCTCGGTTGTCCCCGTTGAGGAGTCTGCTGACTCTGGTGGTACCCCCGGTCTGTCCTTCCCGCGTCCCCCTTCCCCGGTGCCTCCGCCCCCACTGTCGCAGTTGCCGACCCCGCTGCAGCCGCCGTCGTCGTCGCCGCCGCAGCCGACGCCGCTGCAAACGTCGCCGCCACTGCCGCCGCCGCTCTTGGCCCCTGGGGGTGCTGGTGTGGAGGAGGGTGTTCGTCCTGTGGCTTCTGGGGGTGCTGCTGGTGTTGGAGGGGGTTCTCGCTCTGGGGGTGTTGGTTCTGGGGGTGCTGCTGTTGAGTGTTCTGCCGACGGTCGTTCTGCCTCTGCTGGTCCGAGAGTTCCGGCCCAGCCGTTGTCGCCGCCGCAGCAGCCGTCGCCGCTGGTCTCCGCTCTCCCCCTGCTCGGCCTTCCCTCCCCGGACCGCGCGCCGGTGTCTCCCCCACCGCCCGCTGACCTTCCTGTCCGCCGGACTCGTCTCCGGCCCGTCTTCCTCCTCGTTCCCCTCCTGTGTCTCCTCCGCTGTCCCCTGACCCTACCCCTCCGTCTCACGTTTGGGCTCGTCGTCCCTCCCGTGCTCGTCCCGTCTCTCCTGTGCTGCCCACCCACCCTATGTTGCTCCGTTCCCGCTCGTCTCGTCCTCCTCTCCTCCCGTCCCCTCCTCCCTCGTCCCTTGCTGTTGCACCTCCTCCGTTCTCTGACTACCTCCGTGCTGCTCGTCCCCTTGTCCCTCGGGTCCTTGCCTCTCTTGTGACCGACCCTGCTATTCCTGTCTCGCGCCTTGACGCGCTTGTCGCTGCTGTCGCTGACTTCGCCTCTACCCGCCGCCTTGACTACGCTACCGCTCTGGTCTCTGACCCTGCCCGTCCTCCGTCCGTCGGGGGTGCTCCTGCCCTTGGCAGTGACGTCCTAGAGGACAGGCAGTACGAGCTGGCTTTCCTGTCCGAGGCTGCTCCCCATCTCTGCTCCATGCTTTTAGTCCCTGAGGGTGACCCAGACGCCTTCGACATCCCGACCCCTCGCACCTACACTGAGGCCACCTCGGGACGTTGGGCCTCTCAGTGGATAGCTGCCATGGAGCAGGAGATGGCATCTTGGAGGTCCACCGGCACTTACGTCGACGCAGTTCCCCCGCCTGGGGTGAACGTAGTCGATGGTCGGTGGCTCTTCAAGGTGAAGCGCCCCCCTGGAGAGCCGCCTGTCTTCAAGGCGCGCTACGTGGCCAGAGGTTTCAGTCAGCGCGAGGGGGTTGACTTCTTCCAGACCTTCGCCCCGACCCCGAAGATGACCACTCTTCGGGCGCTGCTACACGTAGCAGCTCAGCGTGACTACGAGCTTCACTCCCTCGACTTCTCTACTGCCTTTCTTCAGGGCAGCCTACACGAGCAGGTCTACCTGCGCCGACCACAGGGCTTTACTGGTACCTTCCCTCATGGGACCCAGTGGCTTCTCAGGCGCCCGGTCTACGGCCTGCGTCAGGCTCCCCGCGAGTGGCACGACACGCTACGTGCCACGTTAGCAGACCTGCAGTTCTTTCCGTCCTCTGCTGACCCTTCACTGTTTGTGCGTTCCGGCCAGACTCCGTTCTACATCCTTGTCTACGTAGACGACCTGGTCTTCGCTACTCCTGACAGGGACGCACTGGCTTCTGTGAAGACTGAGCTGCTGAAGAGACACACCTGCACTGATCTTGGAGAGCTGCGTCGCTATCTTGGCCTGCAGATCTCCAGGGACAGAGCAGCACGCACCATCACTCTGACCCAGTCACACTTGGTGCGTCAGGTCCTTCAGAGGTTCGGTCTTCAGTTCTCCTCTACACAGCCCACACCTCTACCTGTGGACCACGGGCTTTCCGCTCCTGTTCCTGAGGAGTCAGTAGAGCCCAGCGGCCCCTACGCAGAGCTGGTGGGTTGCCTCATGTACCTGATGACCTGCACTCGCCCAGATCTCGCATACCCTCTCAGCATCCTGGCTCGCTTTGTGGCCACTGGCAGACACCGACCACAGCACTGGTCGGCAGCCAAGAGGGTTTTGCGATATCTAGCAAGTACATCAGGCATGGGGTTAGTGTTGGGAGGACGCAGGCCAGTGGTCCTCACTGGGCACACAGACGCTTCTTGGGCAGACGACTCTGAGACGCTCAGGTCGTCACAGGGCTACTGTTTTAGCCTTGGTTCGGGTGCTATCTCTTGGAGATCCACTCGCTCGTCGTCTGTTGTTCAGTCGAGCTGTGAGGCTGAGATCTACGCTGGTGCCATGGCGGCACAGGAGCTCCGCTGGCTGACTTTCTTGCTCACAGACTTAGGTGAGCGGCCTAGCTCTGCCCCGGTCCTGTATGCTGACAACAGGGCCATGATACTCCTGTGTCAGCAGCCTCGACTTGAGGGCAGAGCGAAGCACATTCAGCTGCGGTACTTCCTCCTGCGCGAGCTACAGCAGCGTCGCCAGGCCCACGTAGTTTACTTGGCCTCTGGTGCCAACACAGCTGATATCTTTACGAAGGCGCTTGCGCCTAAAGATCATCAGCGGCACTGTGTACAGCTCGGTCTAGTTCCTGTAGCCTCTCACTTGCTAGGACCTTGACTTTGTACTGTCCTATATACATCTATCTATATGTACTCAGACTGGACTTGTGTCCTTTCCCAGTGGCCGGACTAGTAGTGCCGCCCTGGTCTTGTTCTTGTCTTGCCTGTACTCCTTTTGACTGGTCTTTAGACCCTTGTCTCAGTGGCTGGACTAGTAGTGCTGCCCTGAGTTGCTTGTTCAGGATTTGCCCCTATGCAGTCTAGGGGGTGTGTCAAATATATGTATAACTCATATTTGTATAGACTATATAGGGTCACCTCTTAGAGGGTACAACACTCTTAGGTATATACACTTGTTCTCTCCCTCTATCTAATCATTCAGTTTTTCTTTGAGAGACTGTTCACGTGACTGAATCGGCCTGCTTACGTAACCATCCAGACGAGCGCTATTTGCTGACGTCATTCTACGGATGCTATCTACAGTGTAACTCGACAATATCTATCGGAAAAACTAGGTTTTCTAGGCGTGTGGGAGGAATGCATCTGGCAGTCGGTGACCTGGCCGGAAAAATCTTGGTTGGGGAGGGAGGTGGGAGGGGGAGGGGTGGGGTGGGGGATCAAGGAGGATTATGTCAGACGAAAAAATCCGCGCCATCTGAATTCTCAGACTAAAGTCTACATCTGGTATGAACTTTCAGACGAAATCTTATGGCTTATCTGGACGATCAGACGAATTAATTTAGCTCGTAAAAATATCAGATGAACGGAAAAAAACAGGTCTGATTTTTAGACCACCATGTTAACGTAGAAACGAATGATTACTAGAGGTGGAAACCTAGAACAAATACTAGTTGGTTGTACTCACTAGAAGCATACCTCAGTCTAGCCTATAACTTCTACATAGATAATATGTATAAGTTGACACACCCCCTAGGCTAGACAAGGGGTGAAACTAAACAAGAAGCAAACAGCTCAGGGCGGCACTACTAGTCCAACCACTGAGGCAGGGGTCTGGAGACCAGTCAGCAAGAATACAACCAAAACTGAAGCAAGCCAGGGTGGCACTACTAGTCCAGCCACTGGAGGTAAGGCCACAAGGCCAGTCTGACAAGCATATATAATAGAGAGTACACAATCAGGCTCCTAACAGGTGAGTAGCTACAGGAACAAGACCAAGCTGTACACAGTGCCGCTGATGATCTTTAGGCGCAAGCGCCTTAGTAAAGATATCAGCTGTGTTGGCACCTGAGGCCAAGTGAACTACGCGGGCCTGGCGGCGCTGCTGTAGCTCGCGCAGGAGGAAGTACCGCAGCTGGATATGCTTCGCTCTGCCCTCAAGCCGAGGCTCCTGACACAGGAGTATCATGGCCCTGTTGTCAGCGTACAGGACCGGGGCAGAGCTAGGCCGCTCACCTAAGTCTGTGAGCAAGCAGGTCAGCCAGCGGAGCTCCTGTGCCGCCATGGCACCAGCGTAGATCTCAGCCTCACAGCTAGACTGAGCCACAGACGACGAGCGAGTGGATCTCCAAGAGATAGCACCCGAACCAAGGCTGAAACAGTAGCCCTGCGACGACCTGAGCGTCTCAGCGTCGTCTGCCCAAGAAGCGTCTGTGTGCCCAGTAAGGACCACTGGCCTGCGTCCTCCTAGCACTAACCCCATGCCTGATGTACTAGCAAGATAACGCAAAACCCTCTTAGCGGCAGACCAGTGCTGAGGTCGGTGTCTGCCTGTAGCCACAAAGCGAGCCAGGATGCTGAGAGGGTATGCGAGATCTGGGCGAGTGCAAGTCATCAGGTACATGAGGCAACCCACCAGCTCTGCGTAGGGGCCACTGGGCTCTACTGGCTCCTCAGGAACGGGAGCAGAGAGCCCATGGTCTACGGGTAGAGGTGTGGGCTGTGCGGAGGAGAACTGAAGACCGAACCTCTGAAGGACCTGACGCACCAAGTGTGACTGGGTCAGAGTGATGGTGCGTGCTGCTCTGTCCCTAGAGATCTGCAGTCCAAGATAGCGACGCAGCTCTCCAAGGTCAGTGCAGGTGTGTCTCTTCAGCAGCTCAGCCTTCACAGAGGCCAGTGCGTCCCTGTCAGGAGTAGCGAAGACCAGGTCGTCTACGTAGACAAGGATGTAGAACGGAGTCTGGCCGGAACGCACAAACAGTGAAGGGTCAGCAGAGGACGGAAAGAACTGCAGGTCTGCTAACGTGGCACGTAGCGTGTCGTGCCACTCGCGGGGAGCCTGACGCAGGCCGTAGACCGGGCGCCTGAGAAGCCACTGGGTCCCAGGAGGGAAGGTACCAGTGAAGCCCTGTGGTCGGCGCAGGTAGACCTGCTCGTGTAGGCTGCCCTGAAGAAAGGCAGTAGAGAAGTCGAGGGAGTGAAGCTCGTAGTCACGCTGTGCTGCTACGTGTAGCAGCGCCCGAAGAGTGGTCATCTTCGGGGTAGGAGCGAAGGTCTGGAAGAAGTCAACCCCCTCGCGCTGACTGAAACCTCTGGCCACGTAGCGCGCCTTGAAGACAGGCGGCTCTCCAGGGGGGCGCTTCACCTTGAAGAGCCACCGACCATCGACTACGTTCACCCCAGGCGGGGGAACTGCGTCGACGTAAGTGCCGGTGGATCTCCAAGATGCCATCTCCTGCTCCATGGCAGCTATCCACTGAGAGGCCCAAGGTCCCGAGGTGGCCTCAGCGTAGGTGCGAGGGGTCGGGATGTCGAAGGCGTCTGGGTCACCCTCAGGGACTAACAGCATGGAGCAGAGATGGGGAGCAGCCTCGGAAAGGAAAGCCAGCTCGTACTGCCTGTCCTCTAGGACGTCACTGCCAAGGGCAGGAGCACCCCCGACGGACAGAGGACGGGCAGGGTCAGAGACCAGAGCGGCAGCGTAGTCAAGGCGGCGGGTAGAAGCGAAGTCAGCGACAGCAGCGACAAGCGCGTCAAGGCGCGAGACAGGAACAGCAGGGTCGGTAACAAGAGAGGCAAGGACCCGAGGGACAAGGGGACGAGCAGCACGGAGGTAGTCAGAGAACGGAGGAGGTGCAACAGCAAGGGACGAGGGAGGAGGGGACGGGAGGAGGGGAGGACGAGACGAGTGGGAACGGAGCAACATAGGGTGGGTGGGCAGGACAGGAGAGACGGGACGAGCACGGGAGGGACGGCGAGCCCAAACGTGAGACGGAGGGGTAGGGTCAGGGGACAGCGGAGGAGACACAGGAGGGGAACGAGGAGGAAGACGGGCCGGAGACGAGTCTGGCGGCGGGAACACAGGACCGTAGACAGGGAGGTCAGGAGGCGGTGGGGGAGACACCGGCGCGCGGTCCGGGGAGGGAAGGCCGAGCAGGCGGAGAGCGGAAACCGGCGGCGACGGCTGCTGCGGCGGCGACGACGGCTGGGCCGGAACTCTCGGACCAGCAGAGGCAGAACGACCGTCGGGAGAACACTCAACAGCAGCACCCCCAGAACCAACACCCCCAGAGCGAGAACCCCCTCCAACACCAGCGGCACCCCCAGAAGCCGCAGGACGAACACCCTCCTCCACACCAGCACCCCCAGGGGCCGAGAGCAGCGGCGGCAGTGGCGGCAACGGCTGCGGCGGCGGCGACAGCGGCGACGGCTGCGGCAGCGACAGCGGCGGCGGCGGCGACGACAGCGGCGACGGCTGCGGCGGCGACGGCGACGGCGGCGGCAGCGGGGTCGGCGACTGCGACAGTGGGGGCGGAGGCACCGGGGAAGGGGGACGCGGCAAGGACGGACCGGGGGTACCACCAGAGTCAGCAGACTCCTCAACGGGGACAACCGACGGGAGGGGAGTGACGTGGGAGACACCAGACGGGGCAGGACGAGGCGGGAGAGGGGCAGGGGCTACCGGGGGAGAGGGAGCAAGGAAAAGGGGGGGGGCAACTGGGAGACCTCGGTGAGGGAAGCGGCGGTAGAAGGAGACGGACTCATCAAAGGTGACGTCACGAGAGTGGAGGAAGCGGTGAGACGGCGGGTGGTAGAAAAGCCAGTCAGACGAGTCCACGGGGAAACCGAGGAAGACACAGGGGACAGTGCGGGCAGTGAGCTTGTCCGTGCCAGAGGCACGAACGTGAGCAAGGCAGCCCCAGACGTGGAACGCAGACGCGTCACCGGGGGACCCGGTCCAAAGGAGGGTCGGCGAAACCTGCGGCCGCTGGGAGCGTGGCCACAGGTTAAGCTGGTGAGCCGCGTAGCGAACAGCGAACGGCCACAGAAAATGGGGGGCATCGGCATGGATCATGGAGGTACGGGCGACCTCCATGACCAAGCCGATGCGGCGCTCAGCAACCCCATTCTGCTGTGGCGAGTCCGGCAACGTGTACGACTGGGTGATGCCCTCCGCACGACAGAACTGTCCAAGCCGACCAGAGGCGAACTCGCCGCCACGGTCGGAGTGGAGACACAACACGGGGAGACCGCGGTGGAGACGCGCAGCCACAACCCACGGGAGAAGAACGTCGGGCACGTCGGCCTTCCGCTCCAGGGGAAACACCGTGGTGTAGCGCGTGTAGTCGTCGACAAGCACAAGGAAGTAGCGCTCACCGCGCGGTCCGGGGACGGGGGCAGGGCCCCAAACGTCCAAGTGCAGGGTCTGAAGGGGGGCAGTAGCAGGACGCAGCGAGGAGGAGTGAGGAGCACGGCGGAGCCGACCCTCGACGCAAGGCGTGCACGGTGGCGCAGTCGAGGGAGGAAGGGCAGGGAGCGACGCGGGGAGACCTAAGACAAGACCGTGCTGGGACATGTGACGCAGACGCGGGAGAGCAGGGTGACCTAAGCGGTGGTGCCAGAGAAGGGAGGGGTGAGTGAGGGACCGACACGAGCAAGCTGCAGCGACCTGGGAGGACGCACCAACCGGGGGGGAAGCGGTGTGTAGGGTAAACAGACCGGACACCGGGTCCCGGGGGAACGTCGCAAGGGGGGAACCTGAGACAGCCTCAGAACAGACAGCGAACCGCTCGTGCCCGGGGAACGTGGTGGTGACGCCGAGGTCCTGGAGACAGCCGACACCAACCAGGTTCCTGGAGAACGAGGGAACGTGGAGGCCAGTAAGGGAGCCCGAGGGAACTGCCGGACAGGGAAGGGACGTAGAACTGCGCGCGACGACCGGACCCGCAGAGGGGTCAGCGAGAGAGACAACAGCAGGTGCAGCAAGCGGCGTGAGCGTGGAACGGTCGCGGAAGAAGCAGGCAGAAGCACCAGAGTCGAGAGTGAAGGACAGCGACGCAGTGGCGGGGGCCGGGGACGGAGCCGGTGCAGCGACTAGACTAGGCAACCTAGGCAGTCCTACGCCTGTCGCAGCAGGGGAAGCTAAGCTACACAAGGGTGAAACACCTAAACTAGAGTACACAGGGTAGTAAGATCCATCAACACTAGAAGCGTCAGCATACAAAGCATGCAAAGCAGCACCTATCTGATCCATGTCTAACTCAAAGATCGGCACGCCCTGGCGGAGCAGGCTGTGCCAGTCAGGGAGGTCCGGGGCCGGGCCAAAGCGACGACGAAAAATATCGTCGAGGCGGCGGAAACAGCGGGCGGTCGGGTGCGGGCGGCGGCACAGAGTGCCGCGGAGAGGCCCGGTCTGAAGCTGGTACTGGCAGGTCACAGCACTGGAGCCGCTGGTAGACGCCAAGCTGCGCGGGCCGCCACCACGGCCACCGCCTCCGGAGGTGCCGGGCCAACCAGGCGGGAGACGAGCCCACGGCTGCGGCGGGTGCTGCTGGGACGGCGGCTGCGGCTGGGGCTGGTCCTGCTGCTGCTGGGACTGCTGCTCCTGCCCACCGGTGGTAGTCCCCTCAGGCGGACTACCGTCACCACCACCACGACCACTACCACCTGCGTCACCACCCCTACCTCCCTGGCGGCCACGGCCACCGCGACGCGAGCGCTGCTGCGGGTGGACAGCAGCAGCCGTCTCGGTAAGAGGGGTCGCCGTGGCGACCGCAGCCGAAACGTCAGTGAACGTGCACGGGGATGGGGCACAGCCGTGAAAGATAGAGACTGGCGGCGCACCGCTCGACTGAGCGATAGTGCGCTGGCGAGTCTCGATCTCAGTGAGGGTGTCGACAAAGGCGGTCAGGGTGAGGTCACCCGGGTGCTGGCTAAGAAAGTGGTCGCGAGCACTAGCGAGGCGGTCTGGCAGGCGCATAGCGATAAAATAGAGCGTCATGCAGAAAGGAGGGGGGAGCGCAGTGAGCTGGGCAGCAGTACTGGCAGTGCGATAGCGAGTCTCTAGGGCACGCAAATGAGTGGCAAAATCTGCGACAGTAGGGAAGGCAGCCAGGTCTGGGAACAGCATCGGAAAGAGCAAGCGGCCAGCAGAAGCGGAGGCAGGGGTGGAATAGCGAGCAATAACGGCGTCTAAATAAGCTTTGGCCGTTTCAACAGTAGCAAAACGCGAGCGCTCAGACACAGGGAGGGCGTGGCTAATAGCAACCTGAGCTACTGCATCGCGTGAGTCCCAGATCGCACAGGCCAGCGCAGCAGTAGAGAAAGCCTCACGGTCATCAGAGGAGGGGTCAGCAGGGAGGGGAGTAGGTGCAGGGGGACGGGGGAGCAAGCCATCAGCATGGACAACCAGAGAGTGGCCATCCTGGCGCTGACCTGTAAGCTGGCGGCGAAGATCGGAGAGCCAGGCGGCGAAGTCAACCGCGTGGCCCTCAGCGTCCAGGCGGAGCACAAAGTCAGCCATCGTGCAGGGTCAGCGGCACAGCTCCTCAGCGACACAGCGGCACAGCAGCACAGCTCCTCAGCGGCACAGGAGCACAGCGGCGCGGGGACACGGCGGCAGCACTCTCCAGTAGGGCAGCAGCTAGGCGTCCCAGCGCAGGCAAGCAGAAGACACAGGGCCCGAGAGGACACGGCAGGCCGAGCAGGGGAGGCGGGCAGGTGCTCTGGGGCCGGGCTGGTGCTGGGAGGGGCCAGGCTGGTGCTGCTGGGGCCGGTCGGGCACGAGGAGGGGCCGGGCAGCGCTGAGGAGAGGCCGGGCGGCGCTAGGAAGGGGCCGGGCGGCACTAGGAGGAGGCCGGGCGGCACTAGGAGGAGGCCGAGCGGCACTAGGAGGAGGCCAGGCGGGCGAGCGCTAACAGCAGGCGCGACAGGGGCCAGCGGGCGCGACGGGGCCTAAGGGGCGCGACGGGGCCCAGCGGGCACGACGGGGCCCAGGGGGGGCGCGACGGGGCCCAGCGGGCACGACGGGGCCCAGGGGGGGCGCGACGGGGCCGAGGAGGCGCGACGGGGACCAGCGGGCACGACGGGGCCCAGGGGGGCCGCGACGGGGCCTAACGGGCGCGACGGGGCCCAGGGGGGGCGCGACGGGGCCTAGCAGGCGCGACGGGGCCTAGGAAGCGCGAAGGGGCCCAGCGGGCGCGACGGGGCCTAGGAGGGGCGCGACGGGGCCGAACGGGCGCGACGGGGCCCAGAGGGGGGGGACGCGACGGGGCTTAGGAGGCGCGACGATGCTAGGGCACGACGGGCTCAGCGGGCTCGACGGGGCCCATGGGGGGCGCGACGGGGCCTAGGAGGCGCAACGGGGCCCAGCGGGGGCGCGTTAGGGCCTAGGGGTCGCGACGGGACCCAGCGGGCGCGACGGGGCCTAGGGGGAGCGCGACGGGGCCTAGGAGGCGCGACGGGGCCCAGCGGGCACGACGGGGCCCAGGTGGGGCGCGACGGGGCCTAACGAGCGCGACGGGGCCCAGGGGGGGCGCGACGGGGCCTAGGGGGCGCGACGGGGCCTAGGAGGCGCGACGGGCGGAAGCGGTAGGCGGGGGGATCCTAACCTAAGCGTGATACCATGTTAACGTAGAAACGAATGATTACTAGAGGTGGAAACCTAGAACAAATACTAGTTGGTTGTACTCACTAGAAGCATACCTCAGTCTAGCCTATAACTTCTACATAGATAATATGTATAAGTTGACACACCAGACCGATTTCGTCTGATATCTGAGACCCTGCAGATGAGGCCACTGGTATCGTGAGTAACTCTTCATGAAAGGTGACAGTGAGTGACACACATTTGCTGACGTCAGGCCTGCCCGCACCAGAGAAAGAGTGGAGTGGGAGGGGTGGTAAGGGCGTGAATGCATGAAGGTGAATGAGCAAGTGAGAATAACAGTAGACAGGTGACAAAGGAGAAAGCGCAGGAGGGAGCAATTCTCATGACTTGTACTGACTGCTCGCCCATAAGTTGTGCGTGGCGAGTGCAGCAGCAGCAGCTGCCACACAACGCAAATGCCCAGCAATAGCCATAAAGCCAAATGCCAAAGGCATGCGAGCCTAAGTTCTCAGCACCGACATGACATGAGGGGGTACTTCAGCAGCAGACACACGAACCAGCATCCCCACAGCACGCTCACACAAGCCAGCATCCCCACAGCACGTTCACGATCCTAACACCTGCGATACAACAATATGCTATGAGGCATGATGTCTCAGTACTCCCCTTTAGTGTACCTCGGTAGAAATGCTATCACAGCTCTCTGCAGAAATCAATGCCTCTTTCCTTCACTTGACCTACTATTGCCACTCACCTTGCCACTGGTGCTGCCACTCCTCTTCCCACCGGCCCTCCCTGGGCATGCGAGCTTGTGGGAGGGCCAATGCGCCTTTTGGCAGTCTCTGCTGCAATACGCAACCTTGCCACACCCAGAGCAGTTCCTCAGCCTCACACCACCACCTTCTGCCGCCCCGCACCCTGCAGCACCACAGAAACGGCTCTTGGCTTCACTTGAATCCCGTGCGGCAGCAGAGTTTGATGCAGCAGCAGTGCCAGGTGCACGCGTGTTTACAACAGGAGTGGAAGAAGCAGCATCGGAGGGAGGGCGGTAGCATGGCTGCCCCAGCAGCATCTCTCGCAGACATGCCACCAGATTAACTCCCCCCGGCCATGGCTTCAGATAAGCCGGCACCTCCTCCTTTCCCCTCCCTGCTTTTCTGCCACTCCTGCCGCTGCTGCTACTGCTGCTGCCAGGGTCCCTCCCCCCCTCCCACTCCTCACGGAATCTCGACTCCAAGGACCTGTGGTACAGCTCTTCAGCCACCTCAGGGGTGACCTTCTTCTGCTCGCGGCTGCCTCTGCAGGGGTCAGCCAAGCGCGTCAACGTGGGCCACGCCATGAGAACCGCAAAGCACCAATGGTGGACCTCCTCCCACACCTCCCCATCGTCCTCCTCTACTCCCCCCTCCCCACCCTCTCCACCCCTCCCTCTGCGTCCCTTCTTCCCTGCAGCCCTCCGCTTCCCCCCCCTCCACTCATCATCCCTGCCCACCCTCTCCAGCTCCTCAATCTGCAGGAGGGACTTGGGCCAGTAGAGAGCCACGTTCTGCAGGAAGTAGATGGGAACCTCCTCTGCCCTCTCCCTCACCTCCTCGAGAATTAGCCTAAAAGGCACATCCCGAGGGTACGGCTCAAAATGCAGAATATCCGTGAGTTTGTCAAACTCCGGGGAGGGAGGGGGGAAGACGGAGAGGAACCGGTCGAGGAGGACGGAGGCGGGGCGGTAGGCGTAGGTGGCGATGAGAGCAAAGAAGGGGAGGTGGAAGTGGAACTGGCCGATGCACGCGCTGCAGCGCGCGCAGGGCGGCGGCTTCACCTGGTGGCCGGCAAACTCCACCAGGAAGTGTGCGTCGGCTGCGCAGCGCACAATGGGGAGGTCTGGCCTGTGTGGCCTGTTCTGGAGTGGAGCTGCGAAGGGAGACTCTTTCATGCAACCCCTGGCAGTCCCCCTGCCACCACGCCTGCCACCCCCCTTGCCACTTCCCCCACCACTCGCTCTGCCACCCCCTCTCTTTGCAGCTCCAACATCCTCTCTCATCCCACTCTCCTCCTCAATCCCCAGCCGAAAGCATCTCACACTCTTGTCCTCAGGAAACTTCACAGCATCTTCATCGCCCTGAGGCCACTCCTCCCACTCATTGTCAAACTTATTCCCATCCGGAGGCTTGGGTACGGCGCCGAGCCTGACCAGGAGGCTTGGAAGGTCCCGGAACGGATGGCGCATTGGCCGTACCTTGCCCTGTCGGCTCTCCTTGAAGCATTTCTGCGCTGAGATGGAATCTGAGCCATACATTCGGACCCACTGCAGGATGCAACCGACCCGATAAGTTAAGGCCGCAACCACCGGGTTCTGTGTGACAGGCACGAGGGTAAGGCTGGAAGAGGCACTACGGTCTGAGGGAGCACTGGCAGCAGAAGCAGTGGTGACAACCGAAGCGCTGTTGACAGTGTGGGCAGTGGCAGCAGTGGCGCTCTTAGCTGCATTTGACGAAGGCAACATGCCTGCCAATGGCACCCCAGCTGCTGTAGCAGTGGCAGCCCCCCCTCCCACATGCGTCCCCATTCTGAGCCTCTCCCTTGCCTCCACAATCGCTGCATCCTCCACGAGCGTCTTGCTGGGGGTATCGGCGTCCAGAACGTACACCTCCCACTCCTTGCGCAGCCCTGGCTTGGAAAGGACTGTGGCAAACGCTAGGGCAAAGTCAGTGGCGCCCACGCCACTCACATACATGCCCTTGGGAGCGCCATTGCCTTCCACACTGCTGCCGCCACTGCCGCTGCCGCTGCCGTTGCCGTTGCCGCTGCCGCTGCCGCTGCCGCTGCCGCCGCCGCCGCTGCTGCTGCTGCTGCCGTCACTGCAATGGTTGCACCTGAAATCCCTCCGTTCCCCCCCTCCATGCTTCAACATCCCAGCCATCCCTTCCACATACCTCTCCCACACTGGCCCCTTCAGATGCTCCCTCCACTCCCCGCCCTTGCTATCCCTGCTACCATCGCCACACCCCTCATCCCCCCTCCCACGGCTGCCTTCCCTTCCTGCCCCAGCCGCACTCCCTTCCAGCATGCATACCACCGCCTCTGCTCCCAGTCCCTGCATGCCTCCCTCCGTCCTCACCATCCCCATCATGCTGCTCACCATATCATCAGCCGGCACCCCACTCCTCACCATCCCCACCAGAGCCTCAAACGTTTCCACCATGTGCTCTGGAGACCCCCTCACACTACTCCTCCCTCCCCCTGCCTTCCCCTCCCCATTGTCCCGAACCCCCCCTGACAGCAGATTCTGCACAAAGAACCCAAACCCCTCCTTGAGGTCAGCACTCTCCTTCACCCCGAGGATCTGCACCAGGAGGGAAGCAAACTGGTCCTCCTCCTCCTGCCTGCCCGCCCCCAGCTGAGCCACTACGGCCGGATAGACTGCAGAGTCAGAGTCCGAGTGGGCCTTCCATAGAGTCACAAGGCGGGGGCGCCTCGCTACAAGCACGAGAAACGCAGCAAAGTTGACAGCACGGCGGTAGGCAGCCCAGCAGCTGCTGCAGCGCCAGCAACACCACGCTCCAGAAGCGCAAGAACCTGCAGCAGCAGGAGCAGGGGCAGCGACAGCAGCAGCACCAGGGGACTTTGCAGCGGGACCTTTCTCACCCAGAATAGCCGGCAGGCGGGCTCTGATCCTCCCCAGGTCCATGAGCACGCCCACGCGAGGCTCAGCCATCCACTCTAGAAGCATCGTTTCGGCACAAAGCAGAGGCGCCCGCTCACACTTCCACTTGTACTGCTCACGAGCCGGCACCCCTCGTCTCCCTCCTAGCAGCCGCTCCGGCACCGGTACCCTGGAGGAGTACTCTTCAATCGCCCCAAGTTTCCCTCCTAACAGCGGGCTTGGCGGCACCAAGGGGACGGATTTGTCCTCCTGCTGCCGCAGGTTGAAGCGGAAGGCCGCCAGGTCCTGAACCCACAGGGCCTGCTTCGCCTGAGCGCTGATTGCGCGCTCAAAGCACCTCTCACAGGCCGCCACGTCCCACCCGCCCCTCACGTCCAGGTAGTGCACCATGTCCGCCCGGCACAGCACCTGAAGACCCTCCTCCGACCCTCTTTCTCCTTTCCCAACACCCCCTTTCTCCTCTATCCCTCCACTCTGGTCCTTTGCCTTCCCTCCACTCCCGTTCCCTGTGCTGTCTGGAGCTCGAACCTGCTTCTCTGGGGCTGTTTCCTCGTCCTTGCTGCTGCTGCTCCCTGTGTTCAGCGGGAGTCCGCTTGAGCAAGTGCCGTACTTGAGGGAAGAGAAATCAATGCCGCTGTGTCTGGGTGCCGGATCGCCAGCACCAGAGGCCTCGGTCTTCCCCTTTCCTACAACGCTTCTTCCAGCAGCTCCTTCTGGCTGGGTCTGCTCCTCCACCTCTTCCTCCTCCTCCTCCTCATCGCTGCTGGCCTCGCGATGATCCCACTTCTCCTCCTCTTCCTCGCTGCTGGACCCCAGATGGTCCCACTTGCTGTAGTCAATGCGGGTTGCGGTAGAAGCAGCACGCGGAGCAGCAGATGCAGCAGCAGGTGCAGCAGCAGCAGGAGCAGCAGCAGGCGCAGCAGCAGCAGGAGCAGCAGCAGGCGCAGCAGCAGGAGCAGGTTCAGCAGTGGAACCAGCAGAAGAAGGAAGAGCGGCAGCAGCAGCAGGAAGAGGCACAGCCGTTGCAGCTACAGCAGCAGGCGCATCCGTCCCCTGCGGTGCATGAACGGCGTGCTTGCCCTTGCCCTTCCCCTTATCAACTCCTTCGTGCACTGTCTTCACGGGAAGCACTTTGACGGTTGAACCCGATTTGAGCCTGGCTTGCTCCACAGTGGAGTCAGGCGAGAGGTACACCACCTGACCATGCACCATGAAACGGACCGGCTGCGTCCCATCCGCTGAGGCTTTTCTGGGCGCTTTCCCACCATTCCCCCCTCCCTGTTGCTGACGTGCCTCGCATGGCAGGCAGCAGTCTGGCAGGTGGGACTGAAACAGCCTGTTGAAGACTGATCTGAGAGACTCATTTGGAGAGACAGCGAGGGGAACGACCTCGTGAGATGATGATGACGCGGATGGCTTGTTTTCGGTATGGCTGTCAACGAACCTGCTGGTGACGTCACTGCCGCTGCTGCATTTCGTCGTTCCTTCGCTACTGGGCTCGCCTGACTCGCGTGGAATAAGATCGACTGGGACTCGGAATTTCACACTGAAAGACATGTCGCCGATACTATGGCGTCGGATGTGATCAAACTAGTGACGGATTACGCTTTCTGGCTAGAATACGGGCTGTCTCTTCTCATTACGAAAGATCTCAGCAGAAGCATATGCCACTTTCAGCATTGTGCTACCAGTGAGATTGCAACGACCTAGGACCAACAAATTCGAAATGGTTCCGTCTGCGGGCACGACATTCCGTCTTACGGAGTTAGGGTTTCAAGGGGAGAGCAACGGGAGCGTCGTTCTGTAGCCTGTACTAGAGCGCCGGGAGGTATTAGTAGTTATTCGGTAAGGATCGCGTCACTTGAACCTAAAATTTATCGTTCTAGTACGTATGCATCAGAACGGGCATCCTCAGTCGAACTTATTCGAGAAAGACATCACTGACTTCCTAACCAACGGCTACAGCACACTGAAAAGGTCCCCCACAGTTTCACGCCGAGCATGATTCTGAGGAAAATGAAACATCGTTAGTTCCGCCTGAGATAGCGGAGTCGCTCACCGAAAACTAAATGCACTCCTTATCTCTCAAGGCTTGAGATATTTTACTGAGGGCAGAGTTAGAACGAGTGTCAACCATGCGGTACAGCCCTACCTGATCCGTGCACATACTGCCCGGGGGTCAGGGGAGTTCAACGCTGGCGGCAATATTTCCCGCTCTCTCAAACCGGTGAAAATCGCGTCTACCAGTCAGGTTCAGTGTCGCATACGTTGACAGAAAAAATCCGCGAAACGAACTGATCCAATTGAAATGCCCCACGCAAATCTCGCGTGACCTCGCTAGTGCCACCCGGCGACACTTTCGGAGGTCCTGGCGTCAACATTCGCGCAATGGCCGTTAGATCGAACTGTCCCGCGGGTCAGCGCGCAAACACTGTACCAACCGTCTGACACACGGTCCAACTCTGCCCTGATTTTGAAATATTTGTAACTAATAGTGCGCAAAGGACTTTCGCAGGATTGGGGAAATCGATGTGTTTGAAAAAATGAACAAATGTTACGCTGCGGCACGAACCTCACGACACCAATTATGTGTCGACGATAACGAAATGTCGCAACAGCGTGCTGCACGAAACCCCCCCACATCCTGCCCTGCGCGAAATCTCACTGTCGGACGAAATGTTCTTTCGTCCGCGTCGCAAACAGCGTTTGGCTACTTCCTTTTACGAACATCAGTCGTTCGTGAGTGCGGGTTTTGAAATATCCAAATCTGTCACCTGTTAGCGAAAGATTGTTGGCGACACTTTTCGTGATGCTGGCGACAACCAGTTACCTGAACGAGTCAAGTGAGCCAAACAAAATGTCCCACGCCCTTTGTTATGATATAGGAAGTGTCAATGTACTATAACGTGAGAATACAAGGTCGCTATTGCAATGAAGGCACGAGGTTATATAGGGGTTGGCCTACTAGGGCAATAACCTCGGAACGTGGCTAGGTTCGGCAATGTGGCGACAGTGCCAGATGCGACTCGGTTGGGCCGATAAATGAGGCCGAACGTGACGAGTCAAGGAGTTCGGATGTACGCGCTAGCTTACGACTCAGTAAGGAACGGAAATTCCTTAGACTACCCCCCCCCCCCCCCCCCCCCCTAAACGAGACCGCGGGCATCGGAAACATTCCGACACTTATAATACGCTGTTAGAATCGGGTGTGATTCTAGTTCAGCGAGCGGCACCCAGCTGTCATCTTCGGACGTGCGATCGCGCCAGCGGACGAGAAAATCAACCATCTGACGGTTCAGCTGCGTCGTGACTCGATGGCCCAGGATTTCCAAGGGCTCGGTCGTTGGTTCCTGCAGGGGCGTCAGCTGCGGTACACCACGTTGTCGTGCCAATTCTGACGAACTGGGGACGTAGGGCCGTAAAAGGCTGACATGGAAAGCTGGATTGTGGCGCCAATCGGCCGGAAGTCGGAGGTGAGCAGTGACAGGTGTCACCATGTTGGTCACTTGGAAAGGTCCGCAAAACCGGGGTCGGAGTTTAATCGGGATCGGCAGCCGCAAATCGCAAGTGTCGAGTAGAACGAGACTCCCACTTTGTAAGTGACGTCACGTCGATGGCGATCGGCTTGTCGGCTTGCGACCAGGTTGACTTTCCAGATGGCCTCGGCTGCTTTTTCTCGGACGGCGAGAATGTCTTCAGCAAATTTTTGGGACCGGGGCACGGATGTCTCGATGTTCGGGGTAGAGGGTACCACTGGGTCCTGTCCGTAGTTAAGGAAGAGTGGGGACTGATGGGTTGTGGCGGAGGGCGTGTTATTATACGCGAATTTCAGCAGCGGAAGGGATTTCTCCCATGTCTGTGGGTCAGTACAGGTAGTCTGAATGAGTTGCTCCATAGTTTGGTTGACTCGTTCAGTCTGCCCGTTGGTCTGTGGGTGGTAGGCAGAGGAAAACTGTAGATTGGTGCTGAACTGGTCCCACTGGTGGCGCCAGAAATTCGATGTGAATTTCGGGTCTCGGTCTGAAATAATTGCGGTGGGCAGGCCGTGCAATCGAATGACGTTGGCGATGAACAGTTGGGCAGTTTGCTCGGCCGTAATTGTCTATTGGCAGGCGATGAAGTGCGCCATTTTCGTGAGTCGGTCAACGACCACGAGGATGGCGTCGTTTCCGCTCGGACAGGCTGGCAGTCCTGTCACGTAGTCCATCGTGATGTGTTGCCAGGGTCGCTCAGGCGGATCCAACGGCTGTAGTAGTCCCGCTGCTCGCTGATGGGAGGATTTCATGATCTGGCAGGCAATGCAGGAGGACACGTACTTGCGCACGTTGTCAGCCATGTTCGGCCAATAATTGTTGCGCTGCAACGTCTTCATAGTTTTGTCGACTCCGAAGTGCCCGGAGGTAGGGTTTTCGTGGGATTCCTGTATTAGCAGCGTACGAAGTAAATCGTTGCCGGGTACCCAGATGCGAGAAGTATCGCGCTTATTAAAATAGTGTTCAGTGGCGGTGGTATGCTGTTGATGAATAGCAGAGCAGAAGAAAGGGTCGATTCTATAGCCGTGGGTAAATAGTCCGGCAAGTAATGGGCTGTTCTGGGCGACACGTATGGCGGCGGTATGGGCAGTGGGTCGGGTCAGGGCATCGGCAATATTGTTGGCGCCCTGTTTGTAGGTGATGGTGTAGTGGAAGTTCGACTCGAGGAAATCGAGTCATCGGATCTGTCGCGAGTTGAGATTCGGTTGGGCTTGCAGGTACTGTAAGGATTTGTGGTCGGTCCGCACCGTAACGTCAGCGCCTGTCAGGTAGCACCGCCAGGTCTTGAACGCGTGGACGATCGCCAGCATTTCCTTGTCGTGTACGGTATAATTTTTCTCCGCGCCCTGCAGCTTCCGTGATTCGTAGGCGACTGGCTGTAACCCGTCGCCGAAATCTTGTAGGAGAACTGCACCGATGGCGATGTCGCTGGTATCGGTGATGACTTCGTATGGACAGTCGGGATCGGAAATGCGAAGGACGGGCGGCGACGTGAGGGCGATCTTCAGTTGCTCAAATGCAGCTTGCTGCTTCTCTCCCCACCAAAAACAATCCTGATCCTTCAGTCGATTGGTTAGCGGGGCAGATAACCCAGCCATATTGGGTATAAAGCGACGGACGTAGTTGACGAAACCCAAAAAGCTCAGCAGCTCCTTTAGGTTTGTTGGCGGTTTCCACTCCTGTATGGACTTGATTTTCTTGGGGTCGATTTTCACGCCTTCGGTAGAGACGACGTGGCCCAAAAACTCCAACTCCTGCTTAAGAAAGCCGCATTTAGACCCTTTCGTGATGAGGCGATTCTTGTGCAGCAGCGTGAAGACTGCATCAAGATCCTGTAAGTGCTGCTCCCGGCTGCGACTGTAGATTAGTATGTCGCCGAGATAGATAATAACGCATTTATCCTAGAGTTCCCTGAAAACGTTGTTCATGGTCATCTGGAAGGTCGAGGGCGCGTTCGTGAGGCCAAAGAGCATCACCAGGTATTCGTAGCTTCCGTAGCGGGTTCGAAAGGCTGTTTTGTAACAATCTTCGGCAGCGACGCGAATCTGATGGTAACCTCCTCGCAAGTCGATTTTTGAGAAGAACTTGGCGTTGCGAAGTTGGTCGAGTAGGTCGTCGGCTCGCGGGATCGGGTAATGCGACTTGATTGTAATCCTGTTGAGTGCACGGTAGTCGATGCACATGCGGAATCCTCCATCCTTCTTCGGGGTGAACAGTATCGGGGCGGCGTATGGGGACGTGCTGGGCCGGATAAAACCCTTCGTCAGAAGGTAATCCAACTGTTGCTGCAATTCTTCCAGTTCCGGTTAGCTGAGCCGAAATTGTCGCTGTACTGTCGGTTGGGCGCCTAGTTCCAGCTCGATTCGATGGTCGTCGGATCTGCTTGGCGGAAGTCCAGCGGGTAGGTCGTCCGGGAAAATCTCGGGGTATTTTCGAATGAGGTCCGCTAAATCCGGAGGAACGACATCGCACAGCTTCGCGATATCTTCGGCTGTTGTCGGCGACGTCACTTCGCGAAGATCGACAGCGTACGCTGCAGCTCCCACTTTTATCGCGCGCTTGAAAGTTATCGCATGGACTTGGGTGCTTCGCATGCAAGGTCCCGTCCATTTTGGCAGCTCGCGGGGGATCCCATCAAGTTTTATGCTGCAGCCGCCCGTCGTCCAGTCGACCTTCGGGTTGTACTATCGCAGCCAATCTCGTCCCAGCAGCACATCGCATCCGTCGAGTGTAGTCGCCAGCAGCCCCATCCGAAATTTTACGTGCTCCCCGCAGTGAAAATTGACGTTCTCCACTCGTTCCTGTATAGCCAGCGGTGTTCCATCCACTAGTCGGGCATCAATTTCGGGTAGACACTTAAGTAAGAGAATACCCAATTTTTTAGACCTGTCCAGCTGTATGAGACTGTGACTCGCGCCTCCATCCACGAATATTTTCAGCAACACCGCATTGATTTTACCCTCCATCAACACAGCGTGATCAGTTGTTTCGCCCCCTTATTCGTCTGGGTCCGGTCGATTGCAGCAATCGGGATCACGACCCGGTGGGGACTGTGTGGTTCGTGCGAAGAAGCCTGCCCGTCAGTAAGGGGCCCGGTGCTTACTGACGCGACCCATTTCCCGTTCGCTCCTCCGACTTCTTCCCCATAGAATTCTGAGTGGCTATGATTTCTGGGCAGTTGCGTCGGATGTGACCCGGTCGGCCACAGTGGTAGCATAACTCCGTATTGCGCGGAGCAACTGCGTAAATATCCAATACGTCCATCCCTTTTATCGTGGCGCGCTGGTACTGTTCTCGAGGGCGACCTCCGTCATAGAAGTTCATCCTCGGCTTCGTGAGCGAATCAGCGGCTTCGGCGAGTTGGATGAAGTCTTGTAACCACTTCGCAGGGTGTTGCAGTTTTCTCTGGTACTGTATTTCAGGCTTCAGTCCGCCCATGTACCTGTCGACCTTCTCCAACTCGTGCATGTAGCAACATCTGTCCACCAACGTCAAGAGTAATGCGGTGTATTCGGACACAGATCCCAGCTGCTTCCACATGCGTAGAGTCTCGCGCGCTTTGTCTGAGCCAGGAGCATGCTCAAACCGCTTGTTAAGCTCTGCGCACCACGTTGCCCACGTGCGAATGTGGGTCGCACCAAACAGCAAATCTTCCTCGTCTTCGTCGCCGAATTCTTCGGACCACTCGTGCTGTCCTTCTGTGCGAGTTGCCGCTGAGTCGACGATGACCTTCCACCACTGTAGGGCGGCCCCTTGCAACAGTGTTAACGCATGGCTGATCCGTTTCTGATCGTCTCGGATGCCCGCCGCGTTGAAATAGACATTCATGGCGAATATCCACTATCGCACCGTCACGCCTTTATTAGCTGGGTCGAAAGGAGCGGGTTGCTGATATCTCACGCCGCCACTTGTCGAGCGTAGGGCTGTTGCCGCTAGTCGTGCCAGCTCCACTGGGGAAGGTTGCTGCTCACCCGCCTCGCTTTGTGCATCGTCGCCCGGGTCCTCTGAACGCCTTTCCTGCGCCTGACGAAGTCGTTGGTTCTCGTCGCGGAGGTTGTTGACGACGCTTGTCAAATTGGTCAACTGCTCCATTAATGCTTGCAGGTCCACAGTTTCCCGGGCAGAGTTCGCAGCAGTCGAGGTTGTCTGTTCCTCAACCGTCGAGTCTACCGGAGCCATGGCGGTCAGGACAGGGCAGAAGCTAGCGCACACGCTGTAGCTGTTGACGTAAAAATATTTACGATCGAAGACAACTGCTGTGCAGGCGTGCTAATCCCTTCTGACCACCCTTAACTAATTAAAGGGGAAAACGGAAGGTTCCTGGAAAGCTCCAGCTCTGATACCAGCTGTTATGATATAGGAAGCGTCAATGTACTATACGGTGAGAATACAAGGTCGCTATTGCAATCAAGGCACGACGTTATATAGGGGTTGGCGTACTAGGGCGATAACCTTGGAACGTGGGTAGGTTCGGCAATGTGGCGACAGTGCCGGACGCAACTCGGGAAAGGGTTGGGCCGATAAATGAGGCCGAACGTGACAAGTCGAGGAGTTCGGATGTACACGCTAGCGTACGACTCAGTAAGGAATGGAAATTCCTTACACCCTTACCCTTCGTGACCAACAGCAAGGCGATGG